CAATCACAGCTCTTAATTACCACCTTAGAAATAATTATCTAAAATGTAAGGAGTTTGTGTAGAATTTGCAATATAAAATTACTTCTTAACAGTTGAATTCATGAGTCGATTAAAGTTAGACCATGATAGAAAACCTGGAAGTACTGAATGACCATTTCGTCCTAGTATGGAACTCCTCAAGAGTACTCAGTGGATTGGTTGAAGTCAGACAATAACACTGTCGGATACAGGCTTAGTAATCTAGAGGTTAAGCGTTCGCTCAAAAGGCAGACTGAAAATCCTGCGTTCGAATCTCATGTGTAAGATTATAGATGCACACTGTTGAAGAAACTCACTCATACTAGCACCAAACAATTGTCCAATACTTCCAAATTTCCCATGAATTCAACTATTAAAAAAGAATTACTAAAATATTCACAAAATCTTATTCTTGATCATAAAATTACTTTTTTTTAGTAAATTTCACAATGTTCACAAATTACTTTACCCAACTTAGGGTATGTCTAAAAATTTGACAAATATTTCAACTCAACTTTAATGGATTCTCAATGTATGTATCTATATATGTATGTAGGTATTTGGGTATGTATATACACATGAATGAATAATCTAATTACTACAAAATCTCTGGGTGTTTCTTTTTTGTAGTCAAGAGAAAAATAATTTTACAAGAAAATTGCTCAAAATACACAATCCCTAACCCCACCACTACCATCACCAAACACCCACCCACCTACACACACACACACACACACACACATCGAAATACTCCAATCATGAAACTTTTCACTATGAAAAGATGAACAGTAAAATGCGTTTTAAATTAGTGAATTTAAAAAAAAAATAAAAAGGAAATGAAATAATAATTAAGTGTCATATAATTCGGTATGTCTCTCTCTCTCTCTCCCTCTTTCTGTTTCTATCTCTCTCTCCCTCTCTCTCTCTCTCTCTCACATTTCATACATAGAGACAGTAATTTCCTCATGTTTCTTGTATAAAAAATGGACTTTAACCAAATTGAAATCTACAATTCACGTACATATATTGAATAACAGAAAATTATAGAAACATGATTTCTTTTTTAATATTCATTATGTTTTATGATAATAATTCATATATACTTTCAATAATAAATGAATACCATAGAGACAAAAGGAAGAAAAAGGGGGAAAGAAAGGCGAATATAGGAGAATAAATAACGTTTTATTGAGAAGATGCACCGCCTTCAAAAGAAAGAATCCTGACGATATGACTAGTTAGTTAGTTAATTAAAAGTAAAGTTTAGTTTCCCTTAGGAATTTCATTAGTACATGCAAATGAACTATTCGATTCTCTGAATATTAGATTGAAATTATAAAAGAAAAAAAAACTACATTGTACTATACTGTGCGAATGTGTTTTCCCTTAAGAATTTATAAAATATAAGCAGAATAAAAAGTGTATGAAAGAGTGGTTAATAGATAATAAATATATTTAAATTTATGAGTCGATTAAAGCTAGATCACCATGGAAAATCTGGAAGTACTGAATGGTTGTTTTGTCCTAGACTGGGGCTCCTCAGCAATGTGCATCCATGATCTCGTATACGGGACTCCGACCCAGAATTTTCGGTCTAACGAGCAAACACTTAATCTCTATATACCACTAAGTCAGTATTCATCGATGTTAATGTCTAACTTCAACTAATCAACGGGACTGCACGACCATTTGTCTATAATGCTTGTAATTTAAGGCAATGTCGAGCCAATTTGCACGGAATCTACATATGCCAATAAGCAACTGATCAATTGCAGTCCTATACATCACTGAGAAGATTCAAACAACCAACTCAAAAATGTACTTTTAAGTCAATAAAGAAGTTATCTATAAGCATGAAGAGTATTTCGTCAGTGAAGTAATAAAACCTGTAAGAGTGCAATGGCTTTATTGTGTTCACTACAATTTCTCCGGTTTTAATATTTTGATAGTGTCCTTGTATCAGCATGGGGTTGTGGAGATTATTAAGTTTTTGATTAAGATCATGAAAAGATTAATGTTAGACCACGATAGAAAACCTGGACACATTGAACAGTTGTTTCGTCCTAGTATGGGACTCTTCAGCAGTGTATATCCACGATCCTGCTCACGAAATCCGAACCCACGAAATTTGATCCATCTCTCGCGCGAACAAGTAACCTCCGAACCACTGAGCTGGTACCCAACGGTGTTAATGTCTAATTTCAACCAATCCACGAGATTGTGCGACCATCTTCCATTGCACTAACGTGGATACCTGTCTCTACCTGACATGGATTACCTCCACTCGTTTGGTTTGATGATTTACAAAAATATAAATGTATTGGTTTCAAGTTGTTATCCTAGACATTAAATCCGAATATTCTAAGCTTCGAACACATTACTGAAGAGTTCAAAATTACTAAAAACAGTTTTCAATAGTGTTTCATATATAGTCAATCCAAAGTTCCAACTCACCTTAATCACATTAACCTTCTTCAATTTTACTGAATAGTTTTATTTCATTCATAATAAAAATAATCACTGGGGCTTTTTTTTGTTTCCTGTTAAGTTTATTATATGAATTGAGAGTAAATAAGTCTTGTCATAGTTTGGAAAGTATATTGTAATATTTCAAAGTAATGCCCAAAATACATCCATACACGTATATAAGTAGTATATGTGTTTCATTAATAAATAAGACAACACCCAAATTATAATGATAATTTCACATTGGATTAACATATCATTTCCCATCCCACTCCACCTCCCATCCCTCATTTAGTTGTTTCATTTCCATCTCTCTATTTATCCTGATTAATCTATAACTTCATTTATGAAGTATGACATTCCTATAATGGATAATAAGATATCTGTTTACAATGTTTGCTTGTTTGATTGTTTAGTTGTTGATCTATGCAATAAAATGTAAAATCGAATGAGGAATGTTTAGAGACAAATGGACACATTGATAAACAAAATAAACAGATCGCATCATCATCATCGTCATCATCATCATCATTAAATGATAAACAAGGAAACTTGATCATTTAATCCTGTTGATTATTATTATGATTATTTCTTTCATGATCTATGATTGAATTTGTTTGTTCTATTATAGTGACAGTTTAAAGAAATCATTTTAGTTTATTGAAAATAATCTAATCAATAAATCAGAATAAGGCATCTGTGTATAGCTATATCTTCTTGTAAATAAAGAGGTTGTACATAAACAAAAATGTATGGAATCCAGAATGCGCATATCGTTTTATTTGTGACATGTCACCTGGATGTACTTCCACTTCAGAGTTGATGTTCATTCCATGACTCGAACCCAGCACCGTTCACTTCAAACACCATTGCATTATCCACTTAGTTACTTACTTCCAATAGCCACTTGCTTGTGTAATGTGGTGAAGTTTTATTCTCTGAGCTGGATGGTGAACTCTAAATTCACTTGGTATTGTTTACTTGAAAGAGGTCGTTTTCATGAATAAACTAAATATCAATTGAATTTGTATTGATTGGGATATTTTGACTCGTCATAAGTGACTATGCTGATAATTATGATTATTATGATACATATTCACAAGCGAGTGACTATCAGGAGTCAGTAAGTAAGTGGATAATGCGATGGCATTTGAAACGAACGGTACTGGGTTAGAGTCATGGAGTGGACATCAACTGTGAGATGCAGGTACATCCAGCTGACGAGTCCCAAATAGGACGAAACACGCATCCTAGATTCCACTGCTAGCCACTATCCATCTTTGCATATTATGATACAAGTTTACATAGAATCGATGGAATGTGGCTAGCGGTGGAATTCAATATGAGCTCTTCGTCCTTGTCAACTAGGTGTAACTTCATTCCATTGTTGATGTTCATTACTAGATTCGAACTCAATACCTTTTATTCAAACGCTAACGTACTATTCACTTAGCTACTGAGTCCAAGTAACTATTCATTTGTGCAACATGTATGAATTTTAATTGAATTTATAATGGTTTGGATTATTAGTGTGTAGGCTACTGCCGGTCCCAAGCCCGGATAAAGGAGGAGGGTTGGGCATGGGGTTAGCGTCCCCATCCCGTAGAAAACTAACTCGCTAAAAAAACGCTAACCAAGACATAACATTTGGGATGCAGGTATATCCAGTAGAGAAGGATTCCACTGATAGCCAAGTCCCATCACTTCTGTATAAAGAACAAATGAATTTTTAGACAATTGATTCGTACTAGATTAAAGCCTCTTCATACATAATTCAACTGAATTAGCTATTCAAAACCTACAGTGATATTTTGATCGTTTGAGATCACTGAGTTAGCATTCGATAGTCCATAATTACAATTTTAGTAAATTCGAATTGTATAAAACTACTATGCAATTGTTTTCAGTGATATCTGTTGTCTGTTTTGTTGTTGTTGAGATTATTCAAAAATACATACTGTACAACTAAATATGGGATTGAATCAAAGACCTTCATGTTTTGCAATTAGTGAAATCACATCAATTTGTTGCAATACATTGATCTGGACACGCAATCTAGAGCTAGACTACAATTGGAAACCTGGAAGCAATTTATGGCTTTCTTGTCCTAGAATAGAACACAGTAGTGCGCATTCACGACTCCGAAAGCGTGACTCGAACTCTGGACCCTTAAGCTGGCATATCATGTTGTTGACGTCTAATTTCTCGAGCGAATCTCCATCTATTGCTTGTGGTAAATAGCTGTTCATAACCAACAAAGATTGGTTAAAGTTAGACAATTACACTGTTGGATACCGACTCAGTGGTTGAGCGTTCATAAATGAGAATAAATGTTCTTGGTTCGACTCTCAAGTGGATAGACACTGTTAAGGAGTCCCGTACTAAAACGAAAAGGCTCTCCACTCCTTCCAGATTTTCAATAGTGGTAGTCTAGCTTACAACAAATGTTTAATATACAATTCTAATCACATATATTCATCTATCCAATATATGATTGTTTGTTTTTTAATTTAAAGGTGTACACTTTCAAAATACAATCGGTTTTACAGAAGTAGATGATTATGATACATGGCAAAGATATCCAAATTATGATTATCAAATGGCTTATACAAGAAGATATCCAGATTATCATAAACGTGGATTACGTAATATGCGTATGGGTAAACGATCAATCTATGAACGTATGAAATCTATACCAACTGATTAGATCATAATAACTCTTACTTATCATCAGTATTGTTTACAGAATAATATTGGACATATAATAATAATACTTATTGTATTGTTTGTTTATATGAATGGATTCGATAAATAAAGATGAAGGGAAATTTTTTTCTTCTTTTTCTACATAAAATTGTCAATATGTTGCTAACGGCATTGACTTATGTGTTACTATGCAATTTATCTATCTACATACATATACATATTCATATATAAGAGTTTATGCTCCATTACAAAGTATATCTATGTGCAATAATTGAAATGTAATTAAAGAAAAAAAAAACATTACGATTGTTTTGTTTTCTTATTTAAATCTATTGATGATAAGTTTTCTAATTGAATGCCTAGATTCAGTTTCCTAAGCTATTCTAGTAATCCTCCCCATCTCAAGGGCCAAATGCCCTGGTACAGCCGAGAGTGGGGTGAGTTCGTTCTCTCTCTCCCTCTCGAGATGCTCTCACATGGCCACGCGTATACAGCCTCTGACAGGGAAGTCCTACTCACTGCCTTCTCGTGGTGGGGGTGTTGTTTACAAAAATGAGAGGACGAAAAGCGAATGTCCGGTGCTTTAACCGGATTCCAAACCAATGGTGCACATGAGCTCCACTATCCTGCGGGAACAAATGGTGTATGAACCAATTGTTGGTCACCGGCTTCCATGGGACTGCCTTGTGGATCAGACCTTCAGGTCGAAGGCTCGGGGTGTGGCCCATTAAGAAAACCACCTGGTTCGGTTTGGGCACCCGGTCAGTATCACAGCCCTCACACATATTGAATGAGATTTTTGTGGCGCATATGTATTTGGTGCCTCCTTGTACCAATATCTATGTGTTAAAATAAATAAATAAATAAACAATGGCCAAATCTATACAGCGACTTGAACATGAGTGAAGAGATGCGAAATATGGCAGAAAATGCTTTACTTCAAAGGTTCATTTATGCACAGAGAATCTAGGATTTTTATAGTAGTTTGGATGATCTCAGGCTTCCGGAAAAATCTGAAATGCAGTATAGAAAATCATCCAATCAGAAACGTGTTATGTGACTTTTCACTTTTTAAATGTTTCTGGCAAAACGTTTATTGAATGTTAGTTAGATAAGATGTTTCAGAGCCTTTTTCGGCTTCTTTTCGAGGAGTTTTCTGGATCTCCCCAACAATTTCTTGATTATTCGTTATAAATCCGTTAAAAAAATTGTCTTCAAATGTGAAAAGGTTTACATTCATAATCACTACCTTTCTAAATTGATCGTTCGATCTGATCATTAAGTTACTATTCTAGACATCAAACAAATAATTGACAACTAGATGTTTGTAATCCCCTAAACAGAATAACTACTCTTCTGTAACTAATGTTTAACAATAATGATTACCTGTTGTCTTCATAGACTGTCATTTAAGAGATGTATATGACCATTCTTATGGATATTGCTTAATATTTAAACACAAAATTAGACTAGCTATACATAAATATGAAAATAATACAAAACTGATAGAGACAAAATAGGCTTTTTATAAGCAAAGATTGATAGTGGTTAGCAGTGAAGTCGAGTTTGACACGCGTTTCATCCTATTTAGGATTCATCAGCTGGATGTACCTGCATCCTACACTTGATATTCACTCAAGGACTCGAATACAGTAACGTTCGCTTCAAACACCATCGCGTTATCCACTGAGTCCTGATAGCCACTTGCTTATGCAATGTAGTGAAGTTGAAATTCACTTCGTATTGTTTACTTGATTCTTCCGATTGATGTTTAGGACTGCAATTGATCAGTCTCTTATTGGCATATATATATACATATATACTGTAGATATTGCAATATTAAGACAATCCGCACAAGAAGCACTCTTTATTTATATTGACTGAATATAAATGCTCTGAAGCTTTTTTTAAACGAAATATTGAATTAAGAATTGAAATTCGACTGGTGGTAGATGATAATAGAAAGACAGATTAGGCAGCCTAGAAGTTAGTATTAAATCATATCACTGAGGTGTACATGAAACTTGTAAGTTTGTTAGATCGATAAGAAGTACTCACCTTCCAGAAATCTCATGGAAGACAAATAGAGGAATCAGATTTTTGAATTAAGTAACGACTAAAAACAGTGGAATTGTAGAATTTACAAGTAATAAGCTGTGGATCACAATATTACTTAATACTTTGTATATTTTTGATAATTGAGATCATGAGTCAATTGAAACTAGACCACCATGGAAAACCTGGACCGCCATTTCGTCCTATTGTAGGACTCCTCAGCGGTGTGCACCCACGACCCCACCTCGCGAGATTCGAACCCAGGACATATCAATTTCGCCCGTGAGTGTTTAACCACTTGACCACTAAGCCAGCATCCAACGTGGATATATGAAATAAATTATTAGTCAATGACGTCATTTGAGTCATAATATTCTGAAATACTATGTTTTAAAAATCTGGATAATAATTCTGATGAGGATGAGTTCAAGAATGTGAGGACAGCCTACCGGTGAACTTGAGGAAGCTCAGAAAGGGCCGAAGATATTCCATCCAATCATCCTATGGAAGAACATTCTAGAATCTCTACATATAGTTTCCCTATTAGAGAAATGCTAAAAATTCTTGTATGCGAATTGGATGACATTAATGATTTTACTTTTACTAAAAACTATAGATACCTGAGAGTTTTGTACTATATTTGACACTGTTGGAATAATATTCCTTCTCATTCGTCTTCTATCTTGTCATTTTGCGACTTGGAGTATTCTAGCGTTCGAGTGCTCAAGTTGTACGCGGTATATCAAGAATCTAAGCTCTAGATATAACAAAGAATCTTTAGATTTGTAATGACCACTTATTTCCAACTGACAAAGATATCCACTATATATCGTTTGAGTTTAAAATACTACAGTAGAAAGGAGCCTAAGATATTCAGTTCTCTTCACGATCATTGTATTTTGAACAAAATAGTTTTTAGGCAATCCACGATTTTTGATGAATTTGAAGTTAATCTGTAAAAGCTAACCAAATAAATATCAAAATTACATTCTTTGATTTTGAGCAACCCTTCATGCATTGTCTGAAGTAAATAACCGTCTGCATCCGACACAAATTGGACTCTACTGATCACGACTTCTCGCTAGATATCCAGGAAATCCATTTTGAGGCTAGTCACTAGTGAGCACCCAATCATCAGAACTGGGATTTATGGAAATTGTAGTAATTTTAACAGTTGAATGCATGAGTCGATCTAAGATTAACTACCATCAAAATCCTGGAAGCTCTTCAGCAGTGAGAAACTATGATCTCACATTTGAGACTCGCACTCAAGACCTTCGGTCTCGCGCGTGAACGCTTGACTTATAGACCACTGAGCCGGCATCTAACAGTAATAATATATAACTTCCAGGTTTTCAATGGTGGTCTACCTTAAATTGACTCATTAATTCAACTTTTAAATTTATTATAATCACCACAGATCCCAGTTATAAATGGATTGAAGTTTAACATTAACACCATTGGATTCTGGCTCAGTGGTATAGAAGTTAAGTGTTTGTGTGCCAGACCGAAGGTCCTGGGTTTAGGCCTCTTGTGCGGAATTGTGGATGCGCACTGCTAAGGAGTCCCATACAATGATGAAATGTCAGACCAGAACTTCCAGGTTTTCAGTAGTTGTCTAGCTTAGATCAATTCATCAATTCAACTGTTATAATTAAAATAACCCATTATGTCATTGAATATAAATAAAGAGAATTCAACAAAGAAAATTTTCTCTTTTCGATGAAACCATTTACTTAACCTTTTATGATGACCTTTATATTTTTTGGATTTTTTATTCATATTTATCAAGTGAACAATTATCTTTCATAATTCTGACCGGTAAATTATTTTCATCCTTCTAATCTTATCTAATCCCTTGATTATTAGGTGACCTCATTTGATTATTAAAATCTCGAATCATTTTATGATGTAACCTTTTCTATCCTTCTATAAACTTATATTTTGTAAATACAAATGTAAGTAAATGATTTTGTTGAAAAGAGGAAATTTCCTTCGCTTTATTTTTATTCAATGACACAAAATGATCAAAGTATACTCAATGATTGATTTATTTAAACATAAACATTGGTATAAGGAAGCACCAAATAGATATGCGTCACAAAAGTCACTTGATCTGTGTGTGGGCTATGATACTGCCCGGATTCCCAGACCGAAGCAGGTGGTTTTCTTAGAGAACCACACTCTGAGCCTTTGACTAAAAGGTTTAATCCACAAGAGAGTTGAACAACGTTGGGAGGTTCAGTCACATAGTAGCCTGTGACCAAAAATAGGTGCATATGCATTTTGTTCCTTCAGGAAACTGGAGCTCATATGCACCATTAGTTTTGAATCAGGATTTTCCAACTCCCATAGATGAAACCTCCGTATCCACCAACCCGGTTAAAGCACCGGACATTCGCTTTTCGTCTTCTCGATTTCGTAAACAACACTAACGCCACGAGAAGGTAGTGAGTAGTACTTTCCTGTCAATGGCTGTATACACGTGGCCAAGTGAGAGTATTTCGAGAGGGAGAGCTGACTCTTCCTACCCTTGTCCGCACCAGGGGATTTGGGATTATTGTGATTATATCCGTTAGGCACTTAATTCTACAGATTAGAAGGGAAAACAGTAGTGTCTATGTTAATTTTATCCATATATTTTTGTATTAATATCTGACAACCAGAGCAACCATTAATTTAGGTACATGGAATGCTCGTACAATGTGGGAGACAGGCAGAGTCTTCCAAATTGCTGCAGAAATGAGGAGATACGACATGGAGGTGCTCTGAATCAGTGAAATACATTGGACGCAGGTTGGACAACAGGGACTAGCTTCAGGACAGCTGCTGTTATACTCCGGCAATGAAGAAGAAAATGATCCACCCACGCAAGAAGTTTCACTGATGCTATCCAAACAAGCACAAAACGCACTTATAGGATGAGAATCTCATGGACACAGGATCATCAAAGCCTCCTTCAAAGCAAAGAAAGAGGGCATTACAATGAATGTCATTCAATGCTATGCCCCTACTAACGACTACAATGAAGACGTCAAAGATAAATTCTACGATAGGCTGCGGTCAATCATCGAGAAGTGCCCAACAAAGGACTTGACCATTCTGATGGGAGACCTAAATGCCAAGGTTGGAATGGACAACACCAGATATGAAGACATCATGGGACGACATGGACTGGGAGAAAGGAACGAAAATGGTGAGAGATTTGCAAACCTATGTGCCTTCAATA